ACAACCACGCTACTAATTTAACAATTGCAGTGATCCACTTAACGGTGGCAAGAAAGGTAGTAAAATAGGCCAAAACTCACTTAACTGTCTCGCTTAGCAACAAAAAATTTGGGCTCAATTGTCATCAAACGAGGGCTACCTGTACTTTAATTAGTCCCTATACATATGAAATATATTGAGGTTGTGTCTGCTATTCTACCTAATCTCGAAAAGAGAGCATACTTTATAATTGTCCCTTTTCAAAAATATGCCAAACCATTTTAAGATGCCTTCGTCAAATTTCAGAAGCTGTTAATTGTTACAAGGTCACGTATGTTAGCAAAAAAAATAGAGAAATGAACTAAACCAAACCAAGCCCAAGGTTACTAAGAGGGGAAGGGCAAAACGTAGGTAAACTATGGACCTCCACATTTAAACTTGTTCTAAAAAGATTCTATGTTTCAGGAGCATGGGGAAGGAGTAACATGAGATGTGTGCCATGCTGAAAGACATCAAGAATGGAATTCAGGTGGCTCAAGAAGGCGGCCTGCACTACAAAATTCAACAAAGGGAGTGGGGTGGGGGGGGCTGAGGGAAAGCTGCTAAAGAATCTTGCTTTTATCCCTTTCAGCAAAAGAACACTTCAGTTTTCTCTTGGGATCGTACTTGGAAAGGAGGTATGTGCTGGCCTGGGGCCAAAGAGAGGCCCAAGAAAAGGTTATTCTCCCACCCCCAAGGAGGAAGTGGGAGTCTAGCTGGCTCTATCAGCCAGAGAAAGAGCTGCCTCTCCATGGCTTCTTTCTTATCCTGCAGTTCTTTTCACGCTCTGTTGTACGAACCCACAGGCAAGGCCTGCCTTGTCTTTATATAGTACTTCGAAAACACTAACCACATTATCAGTTGAATTAGCAACAACAATAACTAATAAACACATTGAGAGAATTTCACCTAATTAGGGCAGGAAGCCTCCTACCCAAACTAAGTCCAATCACAAAAAGCAGGCAAGAGTAGAAACCGTGTTGGGATCAACTGGGTGACTCCCAGGTGATCTGCTAGTAATCTGCAGCAATAAAATAACTCTTATGTGCCCTAAGTTATACTACTGAAATAAAGAACTGTGTGTGTGTGTGAGAGAGAGAGAATTCCATTTGTGCGGAAAAGCTAGTGTAGGGTCCTTTGAATTCAACTCTTTGAATATCTGGGATAGTGTTTTAAGTAAGTTTTATTACTTAAATTTAGCAGTTTGTGTGCCATTGCTGTCTTGAGTTTGTCATGTGTTACAACGGCAGTGCATATCTAATGCTTTCTTTGCACTGTGCTGAATCACGAGAAGAGATAGCCTTTTGTTTCCATCCACTGAATGGGAGGGGCCAATTCTGTGCTTTTCTCTATCCTACCACTTGTTTTGTTATTTCTCTTTGCTCCCCTGAGCCTAGAAATATAGGAGGAAACCATTTTACCCCTTTTACCTCTGTATACCTCTTGCATGCCCCCATTTATCTCCAAAATAATCCTTTGAGTAATATGGTTGTTACCATAGACTAAGATTACCAGAATGTTAGGCTGGCTAGCAATGTGAAACTATGTCCTCCTGACAATACAAGCCTGGTTATTCAACATACATAAGATTAGAATTAGCACATTTACAGTGTGTGTGTGTGTGTGTGTGTGTGTGTGTGTGTGTCTGGGGAGAGAAAGAGAGGAGAAGGAGGGGGGAAGGAGAGAGAGTGGGGGGGGGGGAGAGAAACTCATACTGCACAGTAGGCATGTTTAATCCTTTCCCTAAAACAGTTACAATTATTTAGACAGTTTTACAATCTCTCAAGCCAGTTACAATATTTAATCTCTGTACTAATGTAATCTTTTCTGCTCCTGCTGTTCTCTTTGATTATTAAGTTCCATACTATGTTTAATTATTGAAATGGACTTTTTATACTAGAATCTAGTCAACTAAAGTTCAATACTAAATTGGCCCTAGGAATTCAAGAGGGTTTAATTTAAGATAGTATCTGGAAGTCTAACAATTCTAGGTTCTGCCCCCACCTCACCCCAGCCATCTCTGCCTGCTCTTTTCTTACATCTACTTTTTATGGACTTTATAACCCATCCAGAGTCTGTATTAAATAGAATTAAGGTAAGTTTAGATGCCAAAGCCAAGGCTTTAAGAAACAACTGATGCCCCTGATTGACCTTACAACATGAATTTAATATCAAAGCATATTAATCCCAAACAATTTTGGCAACAGGCAGCACAAGGTGTTATCACATAAGAGTGGCAATTGTTTTATGTTTTCAAAATTGTTATAATTCTGTCCGTTAGCTAACTCTTTTTTTTTTTGTTGTAAATTTTATTTGAGTTTTCACAAAGAAAAAAAAATACAAATAAAACATCTGTTTTGAAAGTAGCGTAATCCCGGGTTACATTTCTTCGTACAGACACAAATTCAGGTTCATGTTCATTTTTATATTCTATTCCATATCTTATTACTATTTTACATTTTCTGCATAGTTTCTCCCCTTTTAATTTTCTCAATTTTATTTTAATTATCTCATCTCAATTCAAATCATTGTATTTATATTTTTTGTCTGTCCTGTTTCAATTATCTATTATCTTTTCTCATTAAACAAAATTTCTCCTGTAGTTACTGACTGGAGTATGATGCCTTTATATCTTTTCCCTAAAGTTGTAACATTCAATATAATACATAACTTCCATTCGGATTCTTCTTGGTACATTCTTAAAATACACACTGTATTCTTAAAAAAAGAAAAAATTATAAATGTATATAATTAAAACAACATTCCATTCCAATTCAATTCTATCATTAATATTAATATTCATTAAAGTCTTAACATCTTTAACATTACTTTTCAATTAAATATCATACTTCTATGGGAACAATTATAAGCTTTCCATAGTTAGTTTCCCCCCCTCTTCACTTACATTTTATAAAACATTAGCTAATTAAAATGTTCCCGTTCCTTCCTAATTCAATTTTCTCATTTATTTTATTTCACTTATTTTATTCACAAACATTTCACTAAATTACACTATTTTATCCCTCATTTTAATCATACATTGTTTCCAATTTTCTAAAGTTATTTCTATTACTAATATAACAATACAATTTTATGTACCTTTATAGAATCCCTTTTTCAGTTAGATTTTCACCCATTATCTCTAAATAGGTCCTGTTTCTCTATATCTTGCTCCGGTCCTTTGTAACTTCTTTTCCTTTCCTTCTTTCCTCTCTTCTTCTCTCTCCCCTTTTTACCCCCTTGTCTCTCTACCTCTATTTCTCTCTTCTGTATTCCTCTTTTCTGTTGCTTTCCAGTATTATACTTATTTTTCGAATTATTTTTCTTTTCTTTGGTTGTTTTTTTAAGTCTTAAATTCTCCATTCTCTTTCTTTTCTTTCAACAGCAACAATTTTCGGAGACCAGAAAAATCAAAGTACTGAACTACTGAGAAGCAAGAAAATACACTTTTGTGATATGCTCCTGTAAGCATCAGCGTTCATGTTCAAGAACCTGTGTGCAATCTTCAGATTAGTACATCCAGGATTGTACTAATTTGTACATCCAGGATTTTTCCAAATAAGGACTATGGATTAATCACCCTGTCTTAAAATCAAAATCTTGCCCTCCTTCCTTTACAGTCTCTTGCCTTTCTACTTCCAAAAAGAAATGTTACGGAAGGAGATGAATTAAAGAATATTTTAAGAGCCCTTCATCTGCAATACACACATAGATCAGGCTAAGGGTTATCAGATTTCTAAACAGGCAAAGAGGAAATAACACAGATGACTGGAAACGAGGACAAATGGCAAGGGAAGAAAATATACTGTTTAACTTTCTTGGCATCTGCAAAAAAAAAACCTTGCAAAAAATGTTCTTAGGTCTTCGTGTATGTAAAATTACTTTTTTCATCCTCTGAAAGACTGGTTTTCAATTGCAGTGCTTTTCCAATAAACCTTTCTTTTCAAGAACATATGCTAGCGATAATGTAGAATCGATGATGGCATTCTTCCCAAATTTCCCCACAGAAGCATATAGGTCATGTGATCTGTAGATTAGTGTTCTAAGATTTGAGAGAGATGGGCTACATACAAGAAAAAGAAACAATTGACAGAAATTTGAATGATGACTGTTGCGAAAACATTCCAAAATAATAATAATAATAAAACCTGGGACAATCAAAAAGGCAGACAATATTTGATTTTAAGGTTACGCCTGCCAGATGAAGGACATGAAAGCAAAGGGGAGCACACCTCCTCTTTTTGATAACCTTAATCACAATTCTGGTATTTTATTTGGAACTATAGGATGTGTAGTTCAATAAAAAATAATAAAGGTAGGCAAAAATCTCATAAAAAAGAAAAATAAGCTAGTCTTGATTCATTTACCCCTTTGTCTTACATTATTTACCCCATTGATTTTTTTTCAGTCCTGGACCCAACTTTGATACTTGCCTTATGCAACATCCTCATCATCACCACCACCACAAGCAACTGAGTTTAACTGGCTGGCTCCATCCTTATTAATTTTCCTGAAATCTCTCAAAACTTGGTTCTTGTCTTGGGATCCCCAAGGGATCTGTCAGTTGCTAAGGTACCTGCATTGCATTTGACACATGCCCGTCGGTTTAACCTTTTAATTTTAAAAATTAATTTTAATGAATAAAATTTAAATTTAAAAAATAACAAAAGGCCTTTTATTCAATTTCATAATAAATTTTAATGTATTTAATTAAAAAAAACCAATTTTAAGCCTTTTAATCCCAATTTTTAATCTTCTGAATGTTTCCCCCCCCCCCTCATGTGACTGTTTTGTAGATTTTATAGTCTGCCTCCCAGAACCACGTTTTTCCATTGAAATGGAAAACAAAAAGATGACTGAAATAAAGAAACTTTATCAGGTGGTAGGATCCAAATTCGCAGCGAAAGGCAGAAAACCTCACATTGCTTCAGGCCTTTCTCCCGCAGGAGCCACGAAATAACGAGAAATCGATCACTCTGGGTTTTCCGCGTAGCCTGGTAACCTAGGCAACCGCAAACAGGTTTCTCCCTCCCCCCCCATCGAAAACTCCGGTACTCGATTACCAGGCCTTTCTCTTAATTCCTCTCAGCTCTTCCTCTCTGGTTTGGATAACGGTTTGAGGAAGATGGGGGAGCTTTACTTGGTATATTCTGAACTGCCGGGGTAGAGCCAAACTATTGAACAAAGCTTGTTTGGAAGCGAACGTGGAAAAAAAAACCTGTCAAATGAATAAATAAATAAAATTTTTGGAATGACGCACCGCGCGAGCAACGCGGTGGAGCACGCGCAGGAGGGGGCTCATTGGGCCGCGGGTCGAGTGACGGGGGAAAAAAAAGACGACGTTATCCTGGCACTGCGCAAGCGCACTTGGGGACGAAAGCGCGAAGCAAGCCTCTCCCCACCTCCAGCGGCCCGTCGGCGTCGCCTGCACGCGCGCGCATGCGCCCCGTCAAGGCGACCCGGGTGCCTTCCTCCTGCTGCCCGCTTCTATGGAAGAAGCCTGTTGCCCGTTTGCTCCGCGGCCGCCGTCGGGGAAGAAGGAAGCGAGAGGCGGAGCGCCAGGAAAATGCCGGGAAAGCTGAAGGTCAAGATCGTGGCGGGGCGGCACCTGCCTGTCATGGACCGAGCCAGTGACTTGACGGACGCCTTCGTGGAGGTCTGGCGGGGAGGGGCTTTTTCTGCACGGCGACGCTCCGCGGAGGGGAGGGGGAGCACGTCGTCACTCTCCCCCTCCTCTATTTGCATATTTTTGCATAACGCCCGCGAAACTTGGCCTCTACAGATGCTCATGGTGCTGCCTTCTTCTCTCCACAGCCTATTCAAGGCAGGGTGGACGTGCTTCACCTCCAGCAGTTTTTCCTCCTTTTTAGATGCCTACAGGGAGGGAGGTCGATCCCCAGCAGGGGTCTTTCTGGGTGGGGACCCATCCTTAAAGTTGAGGTCTTCAGATTGGTAAATTGTGCTGGGTTTTGCCTCCAGCACTACCTGTTGCTTATGGTGATGAGGATGATGGGATCCATGGACCATCTTTGCCCTCGGAAGTTGTGGGAGCGCCATCACTTGAGACTTTCAAGAAGAGATTGGATTGCCATCTGTCAGAAATGGTGTAGGGTCTCCCGCTTGGGTGGGGGGTTGGACCAGATGACCTACAAGGTCCCTTCCAACTCTGATTATCTGTAAATCATTCAGGCAGAGAATAGATGGGGGCGGGCTCAGTCAGAACTGGGATTTGCGGGTTCTCCAAACTATTCAAAATTTCTGCTACTGGTTCTCCAGAACTGGTCAGAACCTGCTGAATACCCACCTCTGCTGTAGTCCCTCTGGGGTTTGAGTGGCCTCATTGATTCAACTATCTGGAAACAATTTTTAGGATGTTTTAATCATCTTAAAAGCCCCCTAGAATCAGAAGGTTACAAAACTGAGATAAATCATGTTATAAATGACTACCCTCAGCCAGGTAGAGGTAGCAGGTAGTCCTTGACTTACAACCCTAGTTGGGACCAGAATTTCCATTGCTCAGCAAGGGGGTTGTTGAGTGAGTTGTGCCTATTTTTTTTTACCTTTTTGCTATGGTTGTTAAGTGAATCGTTAACTTTTCAAGCATTGCAAGGCTGTTAGTTCCTTTTCAAATGGACGATGTGTTAATAAAAAGGGAAGGAATCAGTTATTTTGATAAAGGTATTACATAAGAAGCAGGAATTTTGAGAGGAATTATTATCCACCGTGCTGCCTTAAAAATAAAAATGCAACTCAGTAATATGACTTGGGATAGCCAGAAAGCTGTACGTGAGTGTATTCCGATGTCTGCATAGGTTATAATTGTAATTCCCTTCATTGGCTAGAAATCATGGGAATTGTAGTAGCAATACTTACGAAAAAGTAAAGGTTTTGGCAGGCTGATTTAAATTTGTTTTGGTTTTGGGGATTATGATACCTTTGAGATAATGACCTGTGCCCGTAACATAAATGTCTACTAGGAATTCACAACTAGAGATAAATCAGAAAGAAATGCGAAAGATTAAAGAGTTTGTGACTGATTGCTGTGGGAAGTATTTGTAGAGATTAAAGAATTGAGTTTTAGTAGTGACAAAATTTCTGGCATCAAGAATGCCACTAATATTTATTGATGTTGGGATGGAATGAAGTGAAGCAACTTGGAGACTATTTAAAGCATCTTGGGCTGTAGGGTTTTGTTTGTTTTAATTTTTCGCACACCTAGAGATTGGAGACGCCTTGTGGGCAAGGTAAGGAAAAGGAAAGGTAGAAAAATGTAATTAGAAGCTTCTTTATCTCGGAGTAATGTTTCCTCACTCAAAGGTTGCATTTACATGGCATGTTGATCTTACTCCTGGAAGGAAGGCTTAAAAGATAGATAGATAGATAGATAAATTTATTGTCATTGTACTCAGAACCTGAGAACAACGAAATAAGGTGCTCTTTCACAACATACAACTGAACAACACCAAAAGACATATACAAATAACAATGTAAAACAAATTAAAACAATTAACAATTAAAAACTATACAACCAGGATATATATATGTTAAGACCACCAGATTCATAACTCTGCATTTAACCTGATCACAGCACTTGGGTAGAAGCTATGTTTAAATCTACTTGTCCTGGCTTTCAGCACTCTATATCGTCTTCCTGATGGTAGGATCTCAAACAACGAGTGGCCTGGATGTGAAGGGTCTCTCAAGATCTTTTGTATCTTCCTTCTACATCCCATGTTATACAAATCCTCCAATGAGGGAAGAGAACATCCGCTGATCTTTTGTGCCCTTTTTATCACTCTTTGGAGTGCCCTTTTCTCCGCCTCTGTACAACTCCTAAACCACACACAGAGGCAATAGGATAAAATGCTCTCTATAGAGCTTCGATAAAAGGCAACCAACAGACTCTCTAATTTATGGATGGCACTGTACTTTTGGCACATGAATGCAGAGAACGGAGAAAAGAGAGCCTAGAATGGCTCTGTAAAATGGAGCTTTTCCACTTGATCTACCTCTAGATTGTTTTTATTGTTACTGTTTTCACAAATGCACCCACCCACAGATCTGTGGGAGTGGGAAGTCACTGGCAGAAACAGGCTGTGAGGGAATGTGCATCCCACCTCTGGTGCTCTGACCCATTTAGTATGATACCATAAAATTTTCTGGGATTGTGTTCAGAATGACTGGATTAGGGTCATATTAGGACAACACTAGTATGTCAGCTGACCTATGTACTTGTTATCTGAGATAACCAAACTCTGCCCTTGCTTTGTCAGCTTTTGACCCATTTTTTGAGCAAAAATATTTTGTAACAGTGTATTTGGGCAAGCCTTTAAGCCAGGAGTGCCCAATTTTGGCCACTTGTGGACTTCAGTTCCCAGAATTTCTCAACCAGCCATGTCGGCTGGGGAATTCTGCGAATTGAAGTCCATAGGTCTTAAAGTGGCTAAAGTTGGACAGCCCTGCTTTAAGACCAACCTGATTAACACGATCATATGTGCTGTCCATTCCTTGTTGCTCTTTAACCAAGTCCAGTTATTTATGTAGGATTATGCATGTCATCTGAACCAGATCAGCCACCAGAATCAGAAGTAAGAATAAATTTTACTTTTGAATGTTGCTTAGCAGACATTCAGAACTGACCAAACTATTCAGAACTATTTGATTTGATAGAAAACAGTGGTGCTTAGTGAACTGTGCAAGGAGAAGGTTAAAAGGAAGATTTAAGACAGCCATCTGTTGCAACCAGAGGGTGTCATCTATGTGAACTCGGAGTCTTCTTGGGTCAATGTATCTGACCTTCTTACAGTTTCAAAATTAAATCTAGTCCAAAATCAGCAAGTGAATTATAATACTGCCTCTGAACCCTTCATCCTGCATATCTGCATTTGAACTCTGAAAACCCTCTCACAAATATGTTGATCAGGCTGTAAAAGCAAAACAGAAACCAGTGACATGTATGTTGATCAGGCTGTGTAATGGGAGATTGTAGGAGCTTGGTGAGATATCTTGTGTTCTCACAAATGATAATCTTACCTCAGATTTTGCTGAAGTACTGTATGCAATTACAGTCCTCAACCTATAACCACAATTGAGTCCAACATTTCTGTTGCTAAGTGTCAGAATAGAATAGAATAGAATAGAATAGAATAGAATAGAATAGAATAG